CCCCAAAACCCCAAAACCCCAAAACCCCAAAACCCCTTTAGCACTTCCAAAGATTGAAAGGTGAGTGCATTATTAATTCCTCGGCTGGAAATATTTCAGATATTCCGAAGACCCCAGATGCTTCTTAATAGGTGAATAATCCAGAATCGAATGCATTGGCCGTATCTTCAACTTTGTATAATTATTCTTCCTCTGTAATCCTTTGTATTTGAAGAAATAAGCTTTTGAATTAGCCTTTGGCTTCGAAGGAAGGCTTGCATACGCTTGGATACTATAGATAGAACTTTGTATTATTACCTCCCGTTAAGAGCATTAGTCAGATTTTTAGGATACAGATGACTCTCCTGAGCACTTGGAGCAAAATCATATGGATTAGGTGAACCCTTTTTCGAATCTAACCATTAAGGAAATGAATTACAATTGGTGTTGAGCAATTTTTCAACTAATTCCTTCCTGATCTCGCTGATGGGCATTTCTTTGGTATTCAATGTTGCAATGCTAAATCTTTATAACACATTTTACTAATGACTATTAGAGCTAGACTGCAGTTCATCTTTATGAAGTCCAGAGCTAGAGTAATTCATCTTTTCTTTAGGATTCTCTATGAAATAAGTGCATATATTTTACCAACACTAAGATTCCTTTGATGTATAGTTGCCACTTTGCTAAACGGCATCATCTTATTTATGCCAGTAATCTTCATAAGTATGTACAGGGGGCTTGACTGTCCCTTTGGTTACACACTGATTATAACTCATATCTTCAAATTCCTTGATATTAGACTGTGCTTGCTTACATCTTTCTCTATTTCTCTGACTCGAGTTCGAGCGACAGACCTGGATTTGAGGATCTTCTTGAACTTATTTAAAAGTACCTGGAATAGTAATTGTTATAATATTCATAAATTTAATGGCTTACTGTTAAGTCTTTCAGCTGGAATTATTCTGTTTCTATTGCCTGCCTTCTTCATTGAGTTGCTAAATTTCCCAATTTTGGCTTCAACAAGTTCTCTAAAGAGGGATCAGGGATGTTTTGAGGGTCCTTACTTGATGAAAGAGGGGCTTTCTGGGATGATTTGAGGAGCATCTTCTGTGCCAATGGCTATTTCTTTTACTCTAGATCCGTTCCTAGAGGGAAATTAGTGCGATAGAGGTGAAGTTTACTTGTGAAGATTTGCTTTAGTCTCTGCTTTATTTTATTAAAAGCTTTTTAGTAGGTTTAAGATAGGTATTTTGTCCTTCAAAATCACTGAAAACAGAACTAATAGGCATCTGGTTACCATTCATCTTTAAGAGGATAGTTTTCCTATCCTGTATAAAGTCTTGTACGCTATCATTTGACCTTTTTAATTTCAATTTGGAGCTTCTAACATAAATTTTAAGTGAAAAGAAGTTACTTCGGAAGGATTTTATCAATTTTATACACTGATTTCACCCGTGCTTTATTTGGCTTAATATTTGGCAAGTTAAGTGCCGTTTTACTCATGTTGTTAAAATAATATTTAGTCAAGTTATTGTGAAGTCTTAGGGGTTTTGGGGTTTTGGGGTTTTGGGG